AGACCCTTCATCTATTTAAAAATAACTTTCCTCCTCATTCCGCCTCACCTACAACTCCCCAGACTTTTTGCCTTTGATATATGTGTTATGTTAAATTTTTTTAAATACTGGACACATAAGCTAGGTATTCCGAAACGATGGCTGCGGATTTTAATCAAACTCATACAACTAACACTGGCAAATACAACGAATTCAAAAAGCAACCCAGGCGAGTTTTATAATTTCTTTTTCTGGTTAATTAACTTCTTATATATCTATATACATTTTTCACGTAGACTGGCTATACATATATACCATATGAACTACTTCTAAAAGTTTTCGGTCGAAGATGTGTTTAGTAGCTTGATACGCTTAATACTACTATTAATAAGTGGTTTTCTAGACAAAACATTTTGGATTAAACTATGGTCAAATACTTAATAAAGTTCTCATCATTTTTTTTTCATGTTTAGGAAACTTACATAATGACTTAACCAGTTTTCCTACAGCATGCTTTTCAGTGTGATCATATAACTCATCTTTATTGGCAATATTCAGATTTTTTTTAATTTCTGACATTTAAGAATCAATAACCGTGAAGATATAGTACAGTGCGTTAATGTAAGGTTACTATGTTAGCCGCATTGATTCCACATACCTAATTTTAAACACAACTTATAAGGGAACTGTTAAGTAATCACAACATTGAACTAATATGAATATCACAGCTATGCTAACGTTAAACCAATTATTATTAGTGGTCCATACAAAATCCTGGAACTTAACACTAGCGTTATAAAAAAACATGTTATGTCAATAACTTATATATATATATACTTTTTTTTTCTCGTTGGTTTAATTATAACGTAAAATGGAAATCTACCACACTTGTAGTTTTTTTTCTATAGCATTATTATTAATAAAAACATAGAACTTGTACTATTCCAATATGGCACTTTGACATATCAATCCGTCCTCCTGTTATCTTTCTCTCATATCTGAGCAACATATGGCCAACAAACATCGTATTGAAGGGGGTTTTGGTGAACGAAAACGCTAGCCCCACACGCACTCGAACCTCTGCCCTCCTGGATGCTAGACCGTGTGCCCAGCCATTAGACCACATCAAACCACGGGCGAATGACTGCAATCTTTCCTTTTACCGATTAATCGTATATAATACTAATGAGTAATAGGACTTACACATTTCTAAGGTGCAGACAAATTCGTTACTTGGATGAATTGACGAAATATTGTTTCAATATATCATACATACTTAAATCAAACCAGAAAAGAGTATTTGACACAATTGTACTTAATCCTTATAATCTACACAATTTTTTTCTCCTCCTTAACCGTATATTCTTTTCCGTTTTGTGGAGTACAACTATGCACCCTTGGTTACGTACCTGGTTATAAAAGGCCGTCGTCATAGGCCCAAGGTCATACATTTGATCGGGTTTGACAATGAGTCCAACTTCTAGCAAGTTTACACTTTTACATATATGCATTATGAAAAAGTTTTTTTTTGTGTTCATACCTTTTCGTACATAAGATGGCTACACTATGTCTATTTTCTTCCAGAATACCAATCCTTTCTGAAGGCCAATCACTTACGTGGAACCGAACAATTATAAATTATATTTTTGTATTTCCATTTTGTATCTTATTATTTTTATGCAGGCAGTGGAGCAGTTCTTCAGGTGTGATTGGTTTTCACCATTACCTTTGAAGTAGATTCTTCTTTACTTTTTACTTGAGGGCGACTAAAGAGGCAGGTGAGTAAACACCTGATAGCCGGTCTGAGCATGGAAAAATCGTACCTCACCAACATGGTGTTGGGTAGCCCGCTCGCGGCACGTCCTCAGATATTCTTATTCCACATTCCCACACTTTCTCTTGAAAGCACGCAGTAAACCGTCAGCGATAGTTGTAGAATAGATCACATGCTACAAAATAAGATGACAAGCTAGTAAATGAGGAGACATCCATGGACTATCGTTGACAGCGTTAGTCGTCACTGATTGTAAGTCAAATAGTGAGCGAGTTGATAATTTTCCCTTGTGATGAGAAATAGAACTAAGGTGTTTTCGATAGATAGGTTAATCGAACCGACGTTCCTACGGAAGTCGATTCTAGGGGGAAGCTAATGTAACAGCTCAGGTTGGTTGGTTAAGAGTTGACCCCAAACAACCAAGCTTATGCCAAAACAGTATTGTTCAAGTATTCATTCACTTCCTTATTTTTCATAAGCGTTATATTCCCGATTATCTTGAATGTTGAGAGCCTTTGTTTGTCTGAACAGATAATCCCACGCTCCACTGTGACTGCGCGAAGATCGAAATAAAGACCTATTCACTACTTCTCTGGTTTCTTCTATCAATAGCACGAGGGTTACTTTAAGGCACGAAAAATCCACTAAAAGGAGAGATATTTTATTCATCAAAATCTGTGAAGTTCTATACAATAGTTGATAGTAAAGTTAACCTTGCTAAGTCCTTTCGAAGTAAGGTCTGATGATGAGGTTGCTGCAAGAAGTACATAAGTAAAACACTCTGGATGCTATCTCACGGTAATTTATTAATAGACTTTATTTTAATGCTTTCACATTCCTTAGGGGCTACGAAGGAATTATATTCCTGGCTATTTAAGACTCCTCTTTCTCTTCTCAGTGAAATAAAAGGGACTATCGATCTCTTGTGTCTTGACGGGTGTTTAAAAGCTTCAATAACTACTCATTAGATCGATGAGCTGATGATTACCAATGTGGTCAGGCGTATCTTCGTGAGTATAGGACTCGCGACTGTAAATAACTGCAGCGCTAGAGCTGCGTTAGCCCCTCTTGTCTTACCTCCCATTGATCTTGAGGCAATAGCGCGGTAAAACTCACTGCCGTGCGGTTTCGGATGAATGGTTCAAAAACTTGTGCGTACTAAGACGATTATTACATCCTCGAAATAAATACGCTAATCAAAATACACACAGCCCCAGTGGGATATAAAATTAGGCCACAAAATCCTGTTTTCACTGATGGAAAGGATACCTCGAGAAGGGCATAGGGGACTGCTTCCTGTGCATTTGTAGAGTTCTGTGCCCTGCTATCTATAATGCGGTTCAAGAAACCAGACCTCCTTACTCTGTTTTCCCTCAGACTGAGAAGTGATCCAATTTGGTTTTGGACCTCACATCAGGCTCAGGACAGTTTGTAGTACATGAAAAGTGTGTTTTTAAGATTTAAATGGAAACAAAAAAGCTCGATAGAAAGGAAACAACATAGAATGTTCATCTTCCATCTTTGACACATAAATATGAATCGAAAACTTGGTACATGTCTGAGAGGGAATCGTAACAGCTTCACATAAGAAGACATAAAATAAACCCATAAAGTGAGATGACTATTACGTCCCACACTTTTGATCATGTTGATATTAAAATTTTTGTTGAATATAACCGTTGTTTAAGTACAATATTAGGACTCCAAACTCTCGACCTTCAGCCAGCGGGCTTATTCTCGGATAGTCGTTACCACGATTCATGGACGAACCAATGGAATTAAGCATAGCGTGTCTTGGACTTAGGCGCAAATTTTGGTCAACTGTATAATTAAATAAAATTTTGAAACTATAGCTGATGTCAGTTCTTGATGAAAATCTTCATTTTCATTCATAACTTTGAATTATGGTCCTGTTTCTTCATAATCTAGTTTCTCATAATAATATGTGACCCTCTTTCGATCCTCATAAGTATGCTTATTTTCTCAAGGTCACTAGCGTCTTTAAAAGGTTTATAAATTGCAGTCCCATCCTTAGTGTGACAAAGAATGGAGAGTCCTCACCATTTTTTCACGGTAGGCGTCAAAGTCGACTTTTGGCGCGCTCCCACTCCTTGGTTTGCTTGGGTTTTTAGTCAATGAACTGACACTGTTTAGTTGCTATTGATAGACAGCTTCTTAGTGAATAGCGAACGTACGTATGCATTACTGGGGTTTTCGTCATGAACTAACAGCTAGTTTGGTTCGTCCAGATACTTCATATTTAGCTTATAATGTACTGGCTTTCCATGTATATATATATATATATATATATATATATATATATATATATACTCCTAGCACCACGATAATTTGATAGGTTGTGTATCTACGTTCATTCGAGGTCTTTGTAGCGGTGATAATGACTTCCCTGGCTTTTTTAAAGCCGGTTTTCGCTGGTCCTAGTTTTATATTCTTGTAGTGAGTTTTAGAAACTTCGAACATAAACTCCTTAGAGGGGTTGGAAAGTCCAGTAACCAACTCTTTGGAGACGCTTTATAATATTAAGGTCTTTAGAGATACATTGGCTAGCTGCTCGCCTGCAACACTTGTTGATGTCACACATATTCGGGGCTTAAAGTTACGAAATCGAAGTGACCTCAACATTCAACTTCTTAGCTGCAGCATAGTAGTGTATATTTGTTTCCAGGTCATGCATTAGTTATTCACGAGTATTACAGTTCGACATCATGATAATAATTCACTAACGATGAACTGCTGTTCGTTATGCACTACTGAAATCTTGTGATGATTATTTTAATCTGTCATCTATTGGTCTATCCATTCATCTAAATCACCTTAAAGCTCAAACTCACTTGGATTGCCATTTATTTTTAAAAAACCTTTGCATTACCTAGGAACACGAATGTGCACCTTACGGTACATCACATTTCACAGACTTCCATCCAAACTGCCCCGCCTACTTTTTTGTTTGTTGACCACTTAAATTTCACTATGCCTGTGGAATGTCTTTTATATCGAAGCAAAAGTGTTTGGGTATAATTTTAGTGATGCTATGCAGGTAGTCAGAACTTCAGTGTACATTTTGATAAAATAATTCAGTAAGCTCTTCGCTTTTGGCTTGGCCTGACGAAACTATATACTTCATGTTTTTCCAGTTAATTTACGTTTATTTTGGAATTGGAGCTGTTAATATGTACCTTCATGTTTTCAAACACCTGAAAGATAGTTTAAATTCTCTTGCTTTTCAGATATCGTATCACTATGTCATTCTTAGCAACTGGATCGCTCATAGTTTTCGGACTGTTTTTTATATTTAAAGGCTTGCGCAGGCACTTTCGTTTCGAAGTAAGTTTTTTTGTTGGTAGCAATTTTTTACTGATAGATCGATAAAAGCTCAGGACACTATGGGGGCGAGCTGGTTGCAGATGTCCTGAAGGTAACATAACACTATTGATATATTTGTAGGCGCATAATGTACCGTTTATTTTTACGCTTACTGGAGGCCACATATCACCGATATTGGTTGCTTCAGAAAAAGAAAATATACGTGTGATAGATGTAAGAAACGAAGCTTCTGCTGTCTTTGCTGCTGATGCTGTTTCAAGACTTTCTGGTTCTGTTGGTGTAGCTGTTGTTACAGCAGGTAAATTTTTATTCAAATGCCATTTCCTTTCGCTTCGTTACTGCTTAGAACAGCACTCGGATTACACTAACATGCAGCGATTTGACAGCACATATCTCTTTACACTTGAGTTTTGTGTTTTTTTAGAAATTACCTAAATAAGCACGGAAAATAGCTCTAATAAATTTGCACATAATTTTCAAAGCCGCAGTAGGCAGTCGAAATTACTTTTAATCTGTCTCAGGCAGACATACTTGCAGCGAGCTGAGGAAAAACAGAACTTACTCTACTTATTCTGAAATTTAACCAGTCACCAACCCACTCAACTCAGGGAGACTATAAATATAAGTGATATCGTCAACATGTCTGACTAGCTAACCCTTCATTGTAAGGCTGCACTAATGAAAAACAGCCTTTAAATAACGTTTGACGCTTGTAAAAAGAAAATTCCATCCCGGACTTCGTCATCGAATTTTTTTAGTGAATTCACCAAACATAACTATTTTATCTGTAAAGTTTATATGAGAAATGAGTATCATGATCGATTAATCACCAATAACTCAAAACTATCTTTTACAAGACCGAACAAAGTTAGCCTCTCCAATATAAAACACTTAGTGCATTCGATTCCAATTGCACTTTCCCACTAGCTGTCATTTGATCACTTGTATTTAAGTAAGAAGCCTCAAGTTAGTTGAAATAATTCCTTGATACAAGAGTTAATGATTATTATAAAATGTCTTTTAGTTCAGAAGTATTTGATTTATATTTTCTCGGTGAGGTTTTAAGTATGCCTGGTTTTATCAAATTTTCTATTTTTGAGCAGCAAATGATTACAGAAGCTAATAGATTTCGCTATCCTAGTCATACTGATCAATTTGCGGTTATCACAAGTGAATGTACTTTCTCTACACTGGGACGATCAGCTACCTCAATCAACCACCATCAGCAATTTTTAAAAATTCCCTCAATTAAATCAACTGAACGTTCTGGTAAAAAACTTTTATAGCTAGTGTTTGTCATTGGCCTTTTGCAAGGTACCCAATGTACTTGGAGATGTAGGGTATGAGGTGTAAATTGTTTACTCCAATCACCAAACTATTCAGTATGTTGCTAAGTAGTTTAGGTTTTCATTTATTTTGTCAATGTCTACTCCAGTCTAGTTTTCTCAATTATAGTTCATCAGTAACCTTAATACCATAAGTATGATTTTTAATCCGAATGTGTAAAGTGGCTAACATTTCTGCTATCACGGTTATAGAAAATTGATGACCTAGCAGGTTCATGTTAAGTAATCAATTATCTGACCTTTTGAATCTCACTGATTGTTTCACAAACTATAACTTCGTTCCATCTACATTACTTTTGAGAGTTTAGTAATGTCTCCAACTCGTACACAGTATTTGTGGCTCCAAGCCAAGTACACAAGTCTGCAATCGATCACCTAGTTACAAGTCTTCTAAGCAGTAGGATAGCTTTGTGTAAATTTTGAGTATAGAAAGTGTGTTCTATGCAGTTTCGCTTCCATATCTAGACATCTAGCACCAACAAAGAAGTACTTTTAGATTTAAAGTCACCAAGTCATACATTTATGATTCTCTTTGTAGTAAAGTTGGTCTAGTAAAATGTTCAACATTTTCCTCATCTAACTCATAGGTCCTGGTCTTACTAATACGGTGACAGCAGTGAAGAATGCTCAGATGGCTGAATCTCCTGTAGTCCTTCTAGCTGGAGCTGCTTCTGGACTTTTACGTGGTCGTGGATCACTTCAAGATATCGACCAGCTTGCTGTGTTCCGCCCAATTTGTAAATGGTGCAGACGTGTAGATTACGTCAGAGAGATTATCCCTGTTCTTTGTGAAGCATTCTATATTGCACAATCGGATACTCCCGGTAAATTTATCAATTCCCAGTGGTTAATATATTTAGTAACATAACTACTGTTCATCGCAAATATTTTGGCTGTAGATGACGGAAAATGATTTTTTTATTGCATTTGTTTTGATTGTCAGTCCAATTCTATTGAATTAGAAAAGGTTCTTTGTTTTTCCTGGAACTAATTAAACTTGATGCTGTATACAAAGTTTCAGGCAGTAAGATTATTGCTAGATATAAAACTAAGTTGGAAGTTAAGTTACAGGATGATTCACAAGTTACCCGTTATGGTCACTATTATAATCCAGTAGGATATAAATCTACATATACGTATTGCTTGTCAGATAACTTAATTAGATTTCATTTTGAGGAGATACCAGGCTTTTTTGGTGCTATTATATTGAACACAACTTTTCAACTTCATCATCTAAGTCTTATGATGCAGCTACTTTCATACCCAGTCAGAAAAAGCTGTTCTCATTACAACACTAAGCACCGGTATTTCTGTGACTAAACAGGTATCTTTAAGGTATGGTGCTGATTGGCAAAAGCTTCTCTTGCTACCGCTAAACGTACAATGATCTTATTTGCCTGACTATTATCAGCACCCACGTCTACCCAGGTATACTAATGTCTTTATTTTTTCTCGTTACTTTGAGCCCTAGCTACCATGAAGTTGCACTTTCTGACGTTGCTTCACTGTTTTAAGGGTCAAACTTCCAAGTTAATGATTAAAGGGTAGTTTCCTGAGATTATTTGTTTTGCTTTAACCTCCAAACAGTATTTTACCTTTCATACAGGGTATTATTGGAAGAAATTGCTTTACAGACTATAAAATCCATAACTATTTTATCATAAATAAATTGATTTTATATCAACTTAAATCTGCAAAAAATATATGTACATGATACCAGTTAAAATCACACCAACATTTACATTTCTAGTCGCCTTATAGTGATTTAAGGTTTATGATTTTCAAAGCTATCATTCAAATTACTTGTAAAGTCTCTGAAAACTGCTCAGTCAGTCAGCTACAACGTAGGACCAGGCACATATATGCACCGGTCCAGGTTGCCATACCTCATTAACACAACAAGATGGACACCGGATTCATAAAAGTAGTTAATTCAGTGGTGGTAATATATGAAAGAAAGATTGCAATAAGGATCTAGTACAGGAAGAAAGAATTAGTTCGTAGAAAGAAAGATATGAAGCGGTTTTAATTTCTTATTTTAAGGGAAGACAGAGAGTGTATACACCGACGCCATTGTAATCGATTCTGAGTTATGTCTCCAAGAGTCTCCAACCATTGGTTACGATAGTCACGCGGACCTCAACCAAGTAGTCTTCATCTTCCAACATGGCTCAGACTAGAAGTTAGTGACTTCAAGCACTGATGCCAAGTTTTGGTTTGGCCGCCCCTAACTTCCTTCCAATGATCCCCAACACTAGTCAGCATTGCGCGTTGTCGTAATCGATGTTCAGGCATACGTAACACGTGGCCCAACCATCTCAGTCGATGAAGATTCATGATCCCTAGTTTATACCAATTCCATATTATATGATTGTTGAATTTTGTCCACGTTTTTTCCATGCAACACGACCCAACCATCTCAGTCGATGAAGATTCACAACCTCATCAACTGATTTACCATCATTCCCCAATAACTTGAGTCTAACCTCACTATTACTTACCCAGTGACCCCATCAGACGCCAGTAATATTTTTAAGGCATCTGTGGTCAAATACTAGTAGCTTACGAGTATCTTCTACTCCTAATGGCCATGTTTCGCCGCCGTAAATTAAAAGAGAACGGACTGCCGCGCAGTATACTCATCCTTTTGTTGATAGACGGATATCTCGCCTGCTCAGCTTGAATTACATGACAATTTTAACTTTCAAACTGCTTTTTCACTGGTAGACCATTCATGCCTTAATTTTAAGGTCTGTTATTAAGTTTCGAATTCACGAAAATGTATTAGCTTCTATGAATATATGTAGCGGGGGCGACTAGATTAAACTAATCATATGTTCTTCAGACTATATCGTATTTGTTTTTGCTTAAATCTGCCTTATGAACTAATCGCATGGAATTTCTTACTAATTTCCGCGATATGTTTTTGGTAATAGTATTTTTTTTTCAAATTATTAAGGACCAGTTTTAGTTGAGTTTCCGATCGATCTGTTATATCCATATAAATTGGTTGAACAGCATACTAAATTGTCTGACAAAACAAATTCTTTAAGGCAGAAAATTGTAAATTGGTAAGTAGATTTAATTACACTTTTTCTGCATAGTTCGAGTGTGTTTATTTGTCTAGATTAGTAATATTCTCATACTCAGCAGACTTACAACTTTTGCTTTCTGTGCATTCAGTTAATCTACTGCATGATTTTAAATAAAGCAAGAACGAAATTATTTGAGAAATATATACATGAAGGGATTTAGTAGGCATTCTTTTAGAGTTGTGGCTGTTATTCGTCATGGATTGATCTCAATCAGTGTACGACTTGAAGCGTGTTTCGTTCTTACATGGAAGTCAGTTAAGTACCCCCCCAGAAGACCAAACAGTGGATTTTGTTACATATGCTCGAGTTACATACTAGCTATTTAAGAAATACTTTGGGAAGAAATCTATACTCATCACAGTTAAAAAATGAAATGTTCAAAAAAGTAATTGAAAGTTGGTATCATAATTTGATGATAAGCAACATTTTAAAATAGTTTCGTTATGTATCGAAATGAAGGAAGATTGATACTTAGTACCACCGATCGAATGCTGTGGCGCAATCAACTGCCCAGTTACCACCAGTTTCAACTGCTTAATAAATCAGAGTTCTCAGCTTCAACCGTAAACTCCGTCAATATATGCCACTTCAAATAGATATTGGATCTTTGACATTGTTAGTACTCATTAAATATTCCGATTGAGACACTAAAAAGACAAGTTGAGCGAAGAAATAATTTTTTTCAATTATTTCTCCATCAACCCTCTACAATAATATACATGCTTTATAAATGAGTAGAAAGTCGAGACCAATTAAATAGGGATGAGTCAATTTAACAAAATAATAATCAGTTAGTCACATAACGTTTGGAAAACTAAGATTCATATTAAAACTAAAGTGAATTCTCATTGTCAGTTAATTACTACAAATAGTTACATAATGAAATGTGGATGTAAATATAAATGTTCTTTGTTATCAATGAAACTGATGATAAATAATTAGGATGGGTGTAGTGAAAATTGTTGGTGTTTACTCCTAATGATTTCCGATAGTTGAGAATAAAAATATCTCCATTTATTCCTTAGTACCTATCAACAATGTCGTGTGCTGTAACTAAGATACTTTTTTTAAGAATTGATGAAGAAAGTTTGCAGCTCACGTGAGTAGTCTTTGGTGTTGTTGAGCTCTCTAAAGTATATAGCTTAGTTGTGAAACTTTCATTGTTATTCTGGACAGCATCACCAAGTCTCAATTCTACATAAATTAAGCACTGATGATCTATAGAACAACAATAAAAGCTTCGCAACTAAGTCATGTAGTTCAAAGAGCTTAACAACATCAAAGTACTTTTCTTCAAGACTGGCTAACCTGTCCATAGTCAATTAACTATTGCTTTGTATCTAGTATAGGCTACAACAGTAATTGATGCGTAAGGGATAGCTCATAAAGATAAATATATGGAAACTACCATGAAATAACAGGATGATAACCACTCATCAATGTATTCAATTTAATTTACCAAAAAATAAGTACCTTATTTTCTTTTTAATCTTTCTGCACCTATTTCTAAAAGATCTAGTGCTACACAGCTTACACTTGTCTGTCACTCTTTTTTATACCATTCCGTTCTTTTCAGGTATCTACGTTTCTATCTTTTCAATTTATTCGCCAATGGTTTCTCATCGAAATCACATCCATCCAAAACAAACGGTTTAGATGGAATTGTTGTCAAATCACCGAAAATTCCGCTTCCATCTAAAAGACAAGTAAAGAAATTAGCTCAGCTGATAAAACTTTCTGAAAAGCCAATCTTACTTATCAGTAGTCAAGCTGTTTTACCTCCGATTTCAGCTGAAGAAACAGCCGTTCACGTTCAAGTAAATTTATCTAAATTCAGCATATGCTTATTTTAAGTTTATGTATAAGTTTTAAACATCCTTTTTCGAATACCATATTGTACACACTGTAGCCGGTATTTGGATATCTTAACGAACAGTAGGTTCCTGAAGGTTGTTGACGTTTTTGTATTGTAATGGCTATGGCATGTTTTGTTTTCTATCAACCGAATCTTCCTCTCATTCTTGGAAACTTAACTATGGTAGATGCTAAATCAAAGAACCTTCAAAAAATTCATACCACACCATGAACATGCTTAACTAGAATGTTTGATGTACTGACTTCATCCGTTTATACCTCTTCAATGGAGTCACTTTGGCAATATCAGTCATTAATTAAGACTTTAAATATCATAGTCTTTACACTTTATTAAGACCAATCAATCTTTAACAAAAAAATTTAAGTTTTGTTTTTGTAGAGTGGGGGGGGGGTTAAGCAGTAATGCACTTAGCTTTCAACGTTTAGGTTGTCGATTTCCAATCTCTCTTCATTCACTCTGGCTTAGGAAGTTGATTAGTATTACCAGCTTTCGAACAACAAGCGTGGCTCCTTTGCTGTTTGGCACACGTCTCATCTTTGGAGTTGGTTCTGTCATCCGCCACGTGTATACAGTGAGTAGGGCTTCCCTAACAGAGGCCATCAATCTAAGTACTTGCTCATCAATGATTGCAGTTACTCAAACGACTTAATTATAGTATCACAAATACTGTAAAGAAGAAATACGTTTTCATACGTATTTCTGTGTGTAGATTTTGTGTACCTTACTTTGTTAATTCTTTTATTAACTTCTTAATCTCACCAATTTAACTGCTTTGGTGATTTCTACCTTAAACACCGTTATGGTCATAAGTGAATTGATTTTTAAGAATCTAATCATTGTTTACATGTTCAGGTCATAACACGTTATTGTCATGCAACTAATACACAGTTATCTATAACTATTGAATGATCAGTAGCGAACATTCTGAGGTCGAAATTAATGTTTTTGTGATTGTTTCTATTCATTACTTCGTCCATTTTTTCTACTTTTCAGTTGTTTTTGACATTCAAAAATAAAAGTTATCAATAACACATTTGTGTTTAAAGGGATAGGCATTGGGTTCGAGTCTCGGTATGTGAGCATCAACACTGAGATGCAGGTATATATCTACCTGACGAGTTTCAAATAAATCGAAACGCGCTTTATGGATTTCACTACTTGTTATAATTCAACTTCACTAAAACTAGTGACGGAATAACAATAACGAGGCAATCTGGTCAAGGTAGACTTTACCAATAACCGGAAAATACGGACCCCCTTAAATATGAACGATTTTGTTTGTTCGTAGCCCCGATCACACTGAAAGATGCTTTATCTGCTCTTATATAATCTATGTATCTTATCTAATATGATTAGTGCAATTTGTTACAATCTTTGTGTGACTACGTACGTTTTTTTCATTCCGTGTAATTTTTATCGACAAATTCATCAGCACGATGTTTCTCAACCTTAGTCGTTTCTTTTTAGACCTTGGGGATACCTACTTACATGTCAGGTATGGCTCGTGGTCTTCTTGGTCGAGATCACCAACTTGGGTTTCGTCATGCCCGTCGTACTGCACTTCGTGAAGCTGATCTAATTATTCTCGCAGGTATTTATTGTTATGAATTTTAATATTATCACTAATCTACATTTTTTGTATTCATTGTTTGGCATTATTTATTGAATTGAGTTACTATGAATGTTTGTTTATTGGTTGCTTCGTGGATATCTTATGTTATGTCGTCGAATTAATTACCTTGGAACAAGAATGATAGCATCGTTTGTATGACGTATAGTTCTCAGTGACTTTCTAAATGGTGGGCAGGGTGTGTCTAGGAATATTACGTTCTTTTAATCAAATACCATCTCAAATTCAAATAGTAGGTGGTGATAAACTGTACTCGAGAAATCCGACGATGCTCCTAGTCATAACTTTGGCTTACATGTCTTTCACCGGGCTAGAAGAACAAATGTATGTATACCAATGATTTGTGTACCTATTTATTTGTTTGGTCAATTAAATCTCCCTAATGTTTTCTCAATTGGTAGCTAAACAAGCGTGTACGAAGCATTTATATCTGAATTGAACGCCGCAGAATGCAATATTGAATTGATTCTACTAGCGGTATTCCTATTGACGTGTATTGAATATGAATATATATATATATATATATATATATGACCGTAGAATAGTCCTCAATGTTCCACATCGTATTTAACAAGTTTGGATAGTCGAGTTAGTAATTACATTGGGCCTCACACGAAAATGTAACTTAACAGAAACTGATACACTTGTTAATTTATCTGATTAGCTTTCTAAATTTAAATGCTACTGTTCCCAATGATAAACGATTTCTCTTTTACTTGTTCTATCAAATACCTGCCTCCATCATATACATTTTCTTGTTAAGTTTCTTCTAACTTGATAAAGTATTCTATCCATTTCTTCTCTTCAATCTATTGTGTGTTTTCTTTTTGTTGTTTGTTTCAAAGGTGCCATTTGTGATTTTCGTTTAGATTATGGTCGTGTGTTAAATCGAAAAGCGAAGATTGTTGTAATTAATCGAAATAAGAAGAACTTATATCTTGTAAATTTGTTTCTTTTTTTGGTAATATTTTTGGCAATAAAGTTATATTTCTTTTATTATAACACAGTAATGTTTGGAATCCTTTACAATTTTTTCTACACTGCTAATTTCCTGTCTTTTCGAATAGTGTAATAATCCTTTTCCTAAATCATTGTTAATAGTGAGTTTGAATTATTCAACAAAGATTGGTCAAAATTCAAACCCCTTACTATTAATGATAGAAGTACCATACCAATCAAACACGTTTGTGTAGCTATCTGAACCCACTGGATTACAATAGGTAATACGTTGGGTATTCGAAACAGAACCTATTGTGTCTAAGTTTCTATGTAAACATCAATACACTTGGATGAAGGTACATTCAGTTGAAAAACCTTGGATTCCACTGATAACCATTTTTCATCTATTACGGAGAAATTCCTACTGTAGATCTATTCTAAATATAGCTATTAATGTCTGTTAAGTGCCTTATGCAATGCTTGCTACCCGTCATTATGTTAAGTAACATTAACGAAAACACTACATTGGTTAGTGTCACTATTTCTTAACAAAACAAGGTATCATTAAACACTTTTTAAAATACTATTGTGTACCGTCTATTGATTCAAAAATGTGGTGTATATGGGTACAACTGACCCTAAAGGCTTTCAGTTGAAGATAAATGTCTATTAGAAGCATTATTGATCTTTTCAATATAACTTCACATGGTTCGTTGCAATAATTTCATCCATGAAACTTCCTACTTCATGAAATATTAGCCCTTATCAGTCTTTCGTACATGAACTAGGAAATTTCCGCTTATCTCGATCATGATTCCTTAAAAAAGTTTTATAGTAGCTAATTAATCGTACAAGTTGTTAGTTTAAAGTCTAATGAATACTCACTTAACAGGTAGAAATTCGTGTACATGGCTTCAAACTACAGTATAAGTGTACGAGATACTACTCAGTCCTCTAAACTGAAGTAAATTTAGGGAGTTCAAATGTACAACTTATTTATGGAAAGTCAAACACCTTAATCATTAAGCCTCCGCCCCACACTTCAATACTAGTGTCTAAACCATGTTAGTATTAGACAACGAGTCTACCTTTATGTGTTGGCAGCAGGTAAAACGACATAAATAAATAATTCTTTTTTCTCTTATCCATTTAATATTCGTCTTTATTTTTTAATATTTAAATATAGAATGCTGACTATTTTTGGAGACCATATCTAACAATTCAAGCTGATGTTGGTACAACCCTAAGAGATTTATCACTTGAACTACAAAATTCTACTAATGAACTAAATTGTTCCACTGAATGGTTAAATATTTTAAAATCACGTGAAATAAAACAAGATGAAGAGATTAAGTAGGTTATTCTCATTGTTTATTCTTGTAACAATGTATGGTTAATTCAACTAATGAGTTTTCAGCCTTTAATTAATGTAGATTAACAATATTTATAGATTAACCGTAATCTTGAGGAATTAAGAAGGCTTTGAATTGTATAGCTTCTTTTCTTATCACTTAACACTTAATTCTAAAAATTCATCACAATAATTTTCTTGGTTATGATAGCAGGATGACGAGATGTTTGTAGATAATAATTGTTCACTCAGCAGTATTAACGAACATTGTTTCTCTTTAAATCCTTCAGTTCTGATTGAATTCTGTCTGTCAAACTCTGGACATAAATTAGCAAGAACCATAAGTTCAGAGTGCTTTATCGACTACTTTCAATCGTCTAACACAAGGAACTTTTAAAGATCCATCTAAAAGATCTCCGGTCTTTATAAGTAGTTTTGGTTAAAAGAAATTCTGAAGGGTATAGAATATTCATTTGCTTTGCAATAAAAGTATTCTGCCTACCCTGTTAATTTTAGCCGATGAATTATAAAGTTTATTATTTTTAACCAATGGAAACTATCCAGATCAACTTTTACATATTTAAAATTTTAAATGGAGCTGATTTAGATTACTTTTGTCATTAGAGTTGCATTACACATTTTGTAGTGTCCGTTGATATGTTCAGCCCATACAGCTTATTCTAGCTCCTGGACAGGCCGATCTATTCGTTGTTCTTGAGTCACGTTTTGACCTTATTAATTATTCACTTAACAACCCTAACTGTTTTTATATGATCGTGTGTGTACAGCTTATACTACTCATCACACGTCTGTAGCGTATTTTTGCGTCACTATAAATATCGATTAACGCTTGGTTGATGGGAGTTGGCTCACATGCCTTCTCCACTGCGCATCATTTCGTCCTTTTGATCGTCTGCCTGGATCAATGATTGTACAATATATACGTATTCGAAATCCGTTCTCGCATCTGACATATTTTAATTCCATTATTCACTAACTTGAGTTAAGTCGATAATTATATGCAAGGATAGGCGATATATATATTTCGATAGCGATCAACATATGATCTAATTGGAGTCAGATATCGGGCCACTAATGTGGTGAGCCTGTCGATAACATTGTCCGATCTTATCGACGTCTAAATAATGGACCACAACTTTTTTGGCTTTCGTACTTCCATAAGTTCATATTCTTAATCGGTTCATGAAAAAATCCAATTGTTGAAGTTCATTAATCAAGTTAGCTAATCATATTTTCATGTCCATCAGGTTTAACACATTCGAAAAAATCTCGAAAATTCGTATATTCCAGTCAAAAATCCCGTCATTTAGAAAAAAACTTCAGTCATATTGTTGGTTTGAATGGTTTTAACATTTTGTTTTTTTGTTCTAAACTTCAAGATAATCAATGGTAATCTCAGTATTCATCATATCTTTTATGTTTTCCTTTCAGACTAAGCTGTCAAGTAGAAGGTATTGAGCATAACAATCCACTTTCCGTTCTCTGGAAGTTGGAACATTATGGTCTACCAACTGATTCTTCCGAAGATAGTATTATTATTGCTGATGGTGGAGATTTTGTAGGATCGGCAGCATATATTGTACGTCCAAGACAACCGTTATCTTGGTTAGATCCAGGACCATTTGGAACGTTAGGTGTTGGTGGAGGATTCGCATTAGGTGCTAAACTATGCCGCCCAAATGTAAGTTTCTACAAATTATTTATTAGGGATTATATATAAATGAAACAAATTAGGTAATTTGGGTTTAAACATATGACAGCTGCATTTCTCCTATATTCTAAACACATTTTTAGAGTTTTACTGAGTTATAAGATTATTTCTTTCAGCTTTAGAATAAAAGTCTTTTTTTATTGGTTTTATTCTTACGGATTTTGCTTCTCTTATTAACGGGTAAGTTCAGCATATTGTAGAGATTTTAATTAACCAACTAAAATGCTCATCTTTAAAATGAATATTTATACTTCCTTTCGAAGAATTATTTCTAGAAGTTTCAATAGAAATCGCAGATATTCCATACAACTTTCAACGATAAATCCATTTCTTCTTGTTGATGATTTTGGTTTCTTTATTCTTCTTTTCTTCGTTTTTCTGTTAAGTATTTCAGTTGTACAGTATGACGACTTGAAATTTCTGACTTTTAACTGTCAACTACTTGAGTTAAGTTGCTTGTAAGAAGTTGATCATTATGATTATAAACATTTGAAAATATTTTATATACGACAGAATCGGAAAATTCCGGTAATCATATGCCTCGATAACTATATCCCGAAAACAAACAAAGAAAAAGACGATAATGATTGGAAGCGAAATTCCGCTTTAACGTAAACTGATGTATAAAAGTGAGATGTTTATGCTGATTATCTACCAGAAGAGAAATTGTGTTAGTTATGACTAATTGATTCACCGTGCAAGGATATAACAACGATTCTTGATGGAATGTCTACAGCTAATGGTGTCTGTTACCGTAGTATCCTTCAATAAAAGCAAAGTCAAAAATGATCTTGTCAATGGGTCCATATTTATAAAAACAGGCATTAATATAGGGGAGTCTAATAAGAAGAGGCATTAGAATGGCTCTTCAATAATATAATAAAATTAACTCCAAATACATTGACTGAAAAAATATAACAACTCAAGAACAAGCTTCAAAAATGTTCTGTGATGACGTCGTATAGATGTAAATCTAATTTTATAATAGTTTGATGTAGCTTAGTGTACGAGCTTAAACTATGTGGTATTCCGCGTTAATAGTCTAGTATATATATGTTTCCACTGTGTACAACTAGTTTGGTACGCATGTCTACCTTCCTGTATTTTCCTTTTTCCATATTGCTTCTGAATTCTTGAAACATCACTTTATTTTTAGTTCATTATGACTGTTCTTTTTTTAGAGCATCAATGAATTTTCATGTGCACAGATGAGCGGCACTAACGAATGAGTTGAGTGAAGACTCTCTCCCACCTCCCCATCCCATAGATCTTTTCAAATAAATCTTCTACAACGAAATCTACCACAGCAAAAATTAGAAAATGCTACAAAACAAGCTGAAATATGATTTATTATATCCTTGTTTCATAACCTAAGGACTCACCGATCACTTTATAATTATGCCCATCTTAATTTTTCCATGTTCTAATAATAACTCAACAGTTTGTAATTCGGTTTTTAATAGTTGTTCATTGTCAAAAACTCAATTTTTATTTACTTTTTCCCATATAGGCTACTGTCTGGGTTATTTATGGTGATGGTTCAGCAGGATATAGTTTAGTTGAATGGGATTCTTTAGCACGTCATCATGCTCCTGCAATTGCTGTTATTGGTAATGACGCTTGTTGGTCACAGATTGCACGTGACCAAGTTACGTTTTTCCGATCCAAAGTTGGATGCCAGTTAAACTACACACCATATGAAGTAATTGGATCAGCTTACTGTAGAAGTGTTGCTCCTGTATCAGATAATTTCATAACTAATAATAGCAATCCGGTTAATGGTTTCTTAGTTGACAAACCTCAGTTGGAACAAATAGTTCATATATTTGATGAGGCTAAACGACTTTCAAATAAAGGGATACCATCTGTTGTAAATTGTCTTATCTCCGCAAGTAGCTTTCGAGAAGGCAGTTTGTCTGTTTAACACACTGTACCTAGTATTTGTTTTTTTGTATATGAATTTTATGTTCATTTCTGACCATGTAAATTTCGCCTTACCATTATATCTATTTACTAATAAATATTTTTCAATAAACATATATCTTCACTAAGTAGTCTTTCTGTTCAACACTCTGTAACTGAATAATCTGCGGTATTTTTACTCCAATATGTCATTACAATAAACTACAATAGGCTTTCACTACTCTCATTACCAAATCTTTTGGAATTATTGGACGCTAATGCTCAGTTAATGTTGGATTACGATGTATATTTGAAACTACTCCCCAGTGTTTACACTTTCAGCAATTTACTGTGTGTATCAGGACTCCACTGTAACAGCAATGATTTTCATGTACTGAGCTGTCGAGACGATAATTATATTGAGGGATCACTTGACATTATCTGTTTTGTATTAGTGGTCCAGACATACCTGACCCAACGTTTGTCATAAGGTGTGAAATCTTCAGTCCATCAAGAATGTCTTCGACATTGATGTTTAAACCGTTGGTCTCATTGAACGTCCACTGAATGCTCCCAGTCAAGGGTCCGCACTAGGTCACATCTAGATTCGCTGTGCTGCGAATCTCCCAAAGCAAATAGTCACCTTAGTCTATATACTTCTTGATACATCAACTATCTCCTAAATATATCTTCACATGCCATTTCTGACTCCTGGTATGACTGCGTTTGGCAATCGGGAAGCCGGTTGATTGTTAAGGTTAAAAGTATGTCTGCCTTAACGTGGGTTTACGCAAATCATTGGCGTAAAACACCATAACCTACTATTTGACTCAAGCAAACAGAGGTTAGTTAGAAGACATACTAAATTATCGAGGATAGAATTCCTATCTGATCAGTGAAATAGTGGTAAACCGGTGACGGAAAGTTCATTTTCTCAGACATCCCAAACTCAGAGGACTGATCACAAGGGACTAAATAGTTATTGATGAAGACCAACACGGACTGATGAATCTTCAGACGACCCTACACATTCGTCTACATGATACTGCTCTGTGCTTCATGTGAAGCTAGAGGAAGCAAACCTAATTGACCGCTGAACGTGTGGTGCCTCTGTAGTTCTCACATTCGCTCAAATGTCTTTTCTTTGGTATCTTGGTGAGATGTCCTTATTTCCAGTCTATTAGTGGCACTCTTCATTCCTAAATCTTTCTGAATAGAACGTAGAACATGTTTGCAATCACTTCTATGTGTGACTCAGTGCTTCGGCCGTTACTTTGTCAGGTCATACTGATTTACCACTCTTGGTTCATCTGATGACTATGTTGATTCCCTCGATCGTTAATACCTGATGCTATTAATAGGTTTTGCCTTTTAATTGGAGTTCACTGATGTTACATTGCTATGGATTTGTAGAAGAAAGCGATACCATTCAAAACGTGGATAGGTAAAAGGAACACAAGCGAACATTAAACGTTTCAACATGCTTACGAGTTCAGGGTATACAAAATTCAGGAAAAACTCAAAACACTGTATTATTTATTGTCAAAGAAGGAGCATCACGTTTAAGATCTTTTCCGGTTAATTCTCGAAACACGATTGATTGACATACTCTCAACATATGACTCAAGTAGCAAGAAAGCCAAATTTCGACTATGATATCAGACATTTGTTAGTAAATTACGAGCTGTCAATCCAGATGTTTCGTTCAACAATAATCATAACAAATTTCAAAAGAAGTTTTCAAATTTTAGGTTTCTGGGGCAAAATTTTCGTAATGCCAAATAAGAACTTTGTGAGACTGAAAATGTTCAGGGTATAAGTAATAAACGAACAAGAAAAAGGTCTGAGTAAAAACGAACTTATTCGAAATCTAGCTAAAATTATGATATTCACAATAATGATTAACAGTCAATTACATACGTTGGATTCTTCTTGGAATAAAGTGATATATCGAGTATCCCGTAAAATTACGAAAACATTCTTTTCTGTGGCGATAGGTGCAATACTTAAATCACTTAGAAAGTACATGATGAATGCTTCAATAACATTCCCCATTAGCATCCTCTATTTTCTGGTACCGAGAGGTAGGTGTTTCGTGATACTGCAATGATATATTATATTCACATTTTTGTGCGATCCCACGATAAGAAATGGTATCTTGTAACTCATTCCAGATTTTGGAATCATTCTGTATAGTGGTGTTCAGGAACATGTGGCACAAAGTGGTTGTTCATCATGCAGCAATAAGTTCTGTGACCAGTAACTGGGTCATCTAGCATATCAGGCATATCAAACAAAACAAAGCAAGCAAGCAGTCATTCAAGATATGCTGAGATAGAAGTAATCAAACTGAAATTTCTTAACTGTGAAGATGCCATAGGTATTCGGAGTTTGACCAACAACGTAATTCATAGCTGTGTAGCGGTAAATAAATCCCCAAAATAAATAGCTCTGTAAGTTTTAGACATCGAATGCTGACCATATGTTTTAATGGACTCACCCAGCTGGAGGCGCTCGGTCAGGCATCCGCAGCAGATCACGAGTGGGAACACCATGCTCAACAACCTGTGCAATCGCTAGCCAGATTTGATCAGACGATTCTCGATATATTGATAGCCTATCAAATCATAAAATCTTCTAATACCGAGGTTTTCAGTCAAAAAGCCTCAAACGTCCCAGAATGACATAACAGAGTTATGTCATACATTTATGCGTTATCTTAATTTTCGTAACGACCGTAAGCGATCACACACCCCACGTAGAAGTACTTCACGTAAGCGATCTGTCTCTAGACCACGAGAGACAGATAACCCCGACTGGTGCTGGTATCATAAACAGTATGGAAAGTCTTCCAGAAATTGCAGAAAACCCTGCAATTTTCCCAACACGAAACCGACTGATTCGAAAAACAATTCGGGAAACTTCCAAGCCGGCACGCGTTAACGGCAATCGTAGCCGGCAAACATAGCCGTCTGCTATTCGTCACAAATGTAACAAAGAGAGTCCGCTACCTCGTCGACACTGGCGCAGAAGTTGGCGTTCTCCCAGCGAATCTTAACGACCGGCTTCACGAATCGGCTTTAAACTTACAGGCGGCAAACAGAAAACCTGTCGCAACGTATGGCAAAAGGTACGTTTACCTTAACGTGGGTTTACGCATTCACTGGATCTTCGTTGTTGCAGATGTTTCTATGCCAATCACTGGTATGGAATTTCTACAACACCATAATCTAAACATCGATACGCGCAAACGGAGGCTAGTAGACGGAAACACTAATTTATCCTTTTGTATAACTTCTTTTTCTGGTTGCAGATTATCCCCAGTCACCATTAGACATACGACAGACCCTTTTTATCAACCACTACTCGATAAGTACCCGGGGATACAACAAACTCAACCGAAACTACCGTGTGTAACCAGCAACGTTACACATCACATCACGACTACAGGATTACCTGTATTCTCTCAAGCACGACGACTAGCCCTTGAAAAGATAAGGTTGGCGAAAAACGAGTTCGACCACATGATATACTTAGGAATCATACGGCCGTCAAACAGCCCATGGGCATGTCTGTCGCACATGGTCCCTAAAGAGGACAGCAACGATTGGTGTCCAACTGGTCACTAAGCGAAAGTGTATCCCAGATGCAAAAGGACCTCAATAACTTAACTATATGGAGTGAAAAATGGCAATTACCATTTAACCTCAACAAGTGCGGGATCATGCACTTTGGAAAGCATCCATATAAACCGCGACTTCACTTAAATGAATGTATAGTCCAAACACTCGAATCAGTACACGATTTAGGAATTAATTACACAGGAAGCCTAAACTTTGAAGAACATGCCTCCTCTATTATTTCTAAATCTAGACGGCTAATTGGTTTTATAATGAAAAACTTTTTCACAACAGAGGGTAAACTTACTCTCTACAAAATATGTGTACGACCCACCCTTGAATACTGCTCTTTTGTCTTCTCTAATATGAATATCGCAGACAAGATAAGAGTAGAAGATGTTCAAAGACGTTTTACACGTCAACTACTAGGATGTAACTCGAATCTCGATTACACAGACAGATGTAAGCATCTATCTTTAGAACCTTTATGGCACCGTAGGCTAAAACACAATTTAATATTTCTCTACAAAGCGATATATGGGCTCTCCTTTCTTACGTCCTGCCCGACTATCACCCACGACCCAGCCTATAGACTTAGAAACAACGCATATACACTACTTACCGTAAAACACCAAAAACAAATGCGTTGTAAGTTCTTTACAATACGGTACAGTTTATTGTGGAACAGGCTGCCAATGCCTATCCGTAACTGTGATACGTTTACCAGATTCAAAAAGCTAATAACCCTATTTCTAGACTCCAAAGAGCTTCAACATTACCTTGAACTCCCGCCCACCGATGAGGCACTTTATTACGGACCGCCTAGTATCTAGAAAAAACAAAATTATAAAAAGTTCGACTGTTACTAATCTGAATATAAGCAAATCACAGGATATATGGCTTATCCTTTCCTATTATTCATTGTTTATTAATCATGATTTCATGCTCCTAACCCTAGCTTTCAGTCCCCAAATCTCTACAGGTTAAATGTACATTATTCTTCCTAAAAGTCATGCTTTTTTTTTTCTACTGCAAGTAGACAGATAGCTCAATCTTATGGATGCTGATCTACTAAGGCCGATCATTCAAAGCTCAAAATTTGGCCACAAAGTCTTGTGAGTTTTTCAATGTTTTATTTTTCTCACCCTAAAATCTTTTTCTTTTTTTTTTCTACAATTTTATACCCACTCATATCTTTTGACTTACTATTAATCCTTACTTCTTTAAACCATTAGTTATTTTCATAGCAGTGTGATATACAATATGGACATCTAACCCATAAAACAGAATTTTTAAATATCTGATTTGCTTGTAACATGGACCTAGTAGAGACAGTGTATTCCAACTATGTGCTTTGATTAAAGAATTAATCATACTTACCATAAACGTAAGAGAGCCTAACATCACAAAAGGAGGGAGGGTGGCGTTACTGACCAGCAAACATGAAGGTGGGGAGATAACTTCAATCCACCCATGTCTGTAGGGCAGAACATTTTGTTTAATTACGGCTCCTTATGGTTTAGTGGGATGTCACGGTATTGAAGCTGATTTATCACGCAAAATACCTCTTTAAATCGTGTTACGAACGTTGAATTGGTTTCACTTCCTACTCAGAAATCCTATTACAAGCAAACTAGACAATTCGCTAATATACGAAGCCTACTCAAGACCCTATAAAACCTAAAAAAAAAAACAAAAAAAACGAGAGGGACTCTAATAGCTTCGATAATAAAAGGAAGATAGCCAGTTGTATATCACAATACTGTTTCTAGCACTATATTTTATTTTATAATCACACATAATCTTATACTCTCAGCTCCCTTTCCGAATCGCCTCCATTTGTCAGTTGTATGTCCACTCACACCTTGCTAAAGCTTATTTTATTTAACCTATTGAAATGCTCTTTCTTAATAAAAGAAAATTAGACTGAGTAATCATACCTTAAACATTCCTACATGAATATTGGCTACTCTGCCTCTCGTGTTTTCTTTTACTTGCTCCGTCTTTCAGCCCCCTTGAGATATGGAACAGGTTACTTCACCCTGCACCATCCTTAAAGCCTTGGATATCCCAAAGGGACAAAAGGTTGCGGTTTCTAGAAGCTCATACCTATTCCTGACCATCAGTCGCACATTCGCAACGCAACTCTCGTGGAGCGCGCCAACTGTGGTACTGATTAAAACAATCTACATTCATGTCTTATAAATTTTCAACCCAGCTATGTAATTTAATACAGTGTATATTGTATCATTTGTATCAATTTGATCTTGCCTGTAAACTGGCATGCCTCATGTAACAAACTGTTATTTGAGAATAAATTATTATTATTATTATTATTATTATCGGTGACTGAATTCGAAAACCATTCCCGATCGTTACACGGTGCCTCACATTCACGATTTGACAGCTACCTTGAAAGGTACAACTGTCTTTTCGAAAATCGACTTGGTTAAAGCGTATAACCAAATTCCCATGGCCACTGACGACATTCCGAAAACAGCCATCATAACTCCTCTCGGACTTCACGAATTTTTGCCAATGCCTTTCGGTTTAAGAAACGCTGCTCAAACATTCCAAAGGTTTATAGACGACGTTTTCCGAGGTCTCAACTTCGTATATGCGTATGTTGACGACTGCCTAATCGCAAGTCCGGACAGAGAAACACATCTCAAGCATCTGGATCTTGTTTTGGACCGACTACAAAAACATGGCATTACTGTAAACATTCAGAAATGACAAGTCGAAACTGACTCATTAAACTTCCTAGGACACACTACAGATGCACAAGGCATCCGACCCCTTAGAACTAACGTGGCGGCAATTCTGGATTACCCAGAACCGACCACGATCAAGCAATTCCAAACGTTTAACAGCCTCGTAAATTTGTATAGACGATTCACACCTAAATGCGCATTACTCATGAAACTTCTTACCGACCAACTTCGTGGAAATGCGAAATCCATCAATCTGGAAGACACCGCACGAAAAGCATTGTCCACAGTAAAGGAACTTATTGCTCAAGCAACGATGCTTGCTCATCAGACACTGAAGCAACCATTAGTATCACCGTAGACGCATCCGACTCAGCAAACAGAGGAGTCTTACAACAATGGGTTAACAACTCCTGGCAACCTTTAGCATTTTTCTTTAGACGGTTGCTAGACACCGAATCGAGGTACAGTACATTCGGTAGGGAACTCCTAGCTATGTATTGTGCTGTACGGCATTACCAACACTATATCGAAGGCCGTGAATTCACTCTTTTCACGGACCATAAACCGCTCACTTTCTCTCTAAACTCTCCTTGAGAGAAGTACTCTCCCCTTGAGTCTCGACAACTGCACTACATTGCGCAGTTTACTTCAGATATTCAACATATTTCTGCAGCAAGCAATGCAGTCGCAGACGCCTTGTCTCAAATAACTTCTTTGAACAGTTTTCAAGGAATCGACCTTCTTAAACTCGCCGAGCTTCAAAAGGAAGACACTGATCTTCAGCGCGAGTTATCGTCTACAACCCTCAAACTATGCATCAAACAGATAGGAACAGGTAAGAAAACCTTACTTTGTGACGCATCTACAGGTAGGGATCGCCCAATCGTGCCGAATCATTGTCGTCGCAACGTCTTCAATGCGTTGCACAAACTTTCTCATACAGGTGTTCGTGCAACCACCAAGCTTATAGCAGAACGGTTTTGCTGACCTGGCATGAATAAAGACGTGAACGAGTAAGCACACTCCTGTGTACGCTTCCAGAAATCTAAGGTTATAAGACACAATAAATGTCCCTTAGGCTCGTTTAAAACTCCCGATGCTCGTTTTGACCATGTTCATCTGGATTTGGTAGGACCTTTACCAGATTCAAATGGATACTCTTACCTCTTAACCTGCATAGACCGTTTCACGCGATGGCCAGAAGCAGTACCTATCAAGGACATCACTGCTGCAACAGTGGCCCGCACCTTCGTCGAACGATGGGTAGCAAACTTCAACCATCAATACAGACCGTGGACATCAGTTTGAATCTGAACTTTTCCGTCGTCCGACCACACTTTTAGGAATCATTCGCTTCCGAACGACCGCTCACCACCCACAAGCAAACGGGTTGATAGAACGTTTTCATCGACAACTAAGAGCTTCACTATCAGCTGCTAACGTTTCACAGTGGACCGACGCTCGTCCACTCGTTTTACTAGGTATTCTCAACGCAGTGAAAGCTGACATTGAATACACTGCGGCTCAACTGGTTTATGGAACGACACTTCGACTTCCGGGAGAATTCGTGGATCTTTCATCCTCTTCAATGAGCACGGATCTAACCTCCTAACGAACAGGCTTACAAACGCAATGCGTTCAGTTAAACCTGCTTCCACTCGACCTCAATCAACTGATGTTTTCGTTCAACCTGACTTTCGATATAGTACACACGTCTTCGTACGTCGAGACTCGCATCAACGACCATTCGAATCAGCATACGAAGGACCCTTCAAAGTTCTTCAACGCGAACCTCAGTACTATATAATCGATGAGAACGGAACCAAAGATAGCATCAGCATCAATCGCCTCAAAGCAGCGTATTTAGAAGGAAATCCTATCTACGTCGATTTTCTTTCGGTACAAATCGAACGACACGGCTCCTACACTTATCATAACTCATCCGGCAGCCAACACACACGATGACCATTCGACAGTATCGGTAAATAAACCTAAAACAACGCGTTCTGGAAGAAAAGCAGGATTTCCAGAACACGTAAATGGCTACCGCACGTAAAACACCAGTTAACATTTTGCTCCATCTCGATTTTCCATGGCATTACATATAATAATAAATATACCAATTTTTAGATGCTTATATTAATACATACTTATTATTCTGCTAATATGTATATTAAAAAATTTTTAAGAAAACATTTTGTGAAATTCGATTTTACGCTATCACATGTACATGAGTTTATTTTCCGTTTTTCTCCCACTTTGTGTCTTGAAGCGCGTACGAGCTTATTTCGGGATGCAGTTACATATTCTTTTATCTTTTTTACAGGACGGCTGGAAAAGATGTTGAAAAGAACGATGAGATTTACGAGGAACCAAAATTTTTATTGTACTTTTTTTCACTATTTTGTACTTCATGGTCCCTTATAGTAAGGAAAGACGACCAGAGGCTGTTAAACCCAGCAAGCAATCAGAAGAGTGTTGACCAACAAACAACTCGTTGGGTTTAAACTTCTGGCTGGCCACGTCTTAGGTTTATCACCACCCCACTGGGGGGAGTGATCTGTAGCGGTAAATAAATCCCCAAAATAAATAGCTCTGTAAGTTTTAGACATCGAATGCTGACCATATGTTTTAATGGACTCACCCAGCTGGAGGCGCTCGGTCAGGCATCCGCAGCAGATCACGAGTGGGAACACCGTGCTCAACATCTAACGCAATCGCTAGCCAGATTAGATCAGACGATCCTCGATATGTTGATAGCCTAACAAATATATCTTCCAGTTTCCTCGCTTTTGTCTTTTTATTCCACTTGATGGGTACGCTTTATATTAGGTGTTACTGGCTAAAGCGTTGTCAAGCTTTAAACACCTGTGGCATCTTCACTCTGCCCTCCGAATCGAAGCATCTTCATTCAAAAGAATTATGACGCCTCATGATGAAAGTCAAGATTCTTTTCTTTTAACAACCACAGCAACAATTTTTATAGATACGTGGAGTGTACTGATATAAGCTCAGTCCAAATACACACGCGAAGGCAATATCCAGAAGCTAGAGATAAAGTGGAGTAGAACAGGCTATAGGTAAACGTTCTCAACTTTACGAGTAGTCAAATGAAAGTATTTACATTGGAGTCTTTCACGAACAAACTTGACATACTTGAAAGGGCTCAGAATGTTGTTCCAATATAACTCACTAATATTTTTCTTTATAACTTCTAAAACACCCAGGTTCCAACCTGGGGGAATCGATGATCCTCTGCTACTAGATATGGAAGCCCATTAAATGAAGGTTTCTCCTATTCATTCCATAAATATTTAAACCGTTTCAGCCTGTAGAAAGACCTAAAACAACTGATACGAGAGTAAATTAATTAATCCTGGGGCTATAAAAATAATTTTTTTATTTTGAAATCGACCTGGACTTGCATAACTGAGTTATCTAATGTACAATAACTATTGTTTGATTCCGCAAACTGACAAATTGTTGTAGGTTGGTTCATTACAAATTTCTTACTTGTTCACGTTATTACGTAAGATATACATATGTCACTTTTATATTGACTATATCTAACTTTTTAAATCTTGATAAATACAAAGACTTGATTGTTTATAAATTGTGACGTGTAGTGCAATCATATTCTAGCCATGAATGATCCTAGCAACGCACTCAACTGTACTCAAGAAAAATGAGCTCCTAATCAACTATTAATTCAACTTAGATTAGTGTAGAGGAGTATCTGATCTGCCTACCTTGGTCGACAGCGAAGTTTTGGAATCGTATCATAGCGTCAGCGTGCGAGGGCAAAGGAATCAATCGAATATTAGCTTGTCACAAAGATTGGATACTCGTCGCATATATGTTACTCACCAGTGTCCTATGGAAAGTGTTTTGTAAAAAGCTCCACGGTTCCTTTGTTAATTAATCGTATTCTGGTATTTTTGTGTATTTTAAAATCACCAGCAGTTACGTTCTCAAATATAAATGTTCCAGGTGTATATAATGGTTTTAAGTAAACTTGTAGGACTTGTCGTTTCACGACTCAGAAATATGAGCGTTCGACTGAACATATTAGTTTTCATCAATCCAATGCTGCATCATTCAAACTTTACCGATCTGAGTGATTACTATAAATGATTTTATTTTCTAAATCTTGAATAGCTTGATTCATTAGTTCGAAAACACATTTTCCATCCGGTGTTTTATATGAGGCTTTGAAAATACAGGAGCTATTTCATGATATCATCCTACTTACTGTTAATTTAAGTTTTCTGTCTAAATAACACCAAATATCCATTAATAATGATAAAGTTGAACTTGTTTGAGACACTTTTTTGCTTGTTGGGGTTTTGATTTTATGGTTCATCTGAATGCTATTTTTCCTTTGCTTGAGCTTTCCATAATCCAGTCCTTTATTCTTCACCTAACTCTAGACACGAAACTTTAAATAAATGAATAGTTAAGCGTAAATGAACCTCAAATATAAAATGCTATAACTGTGGTTAACCACTAATTTTGCTGATAAATTTGAATTCGTGATGTTTACATGGGGACGTGAGCACAATACGTCGTATGACCTCCTTATGCCTCCGAACTATCAAATGTTTTGTGGATGTACTTCTGACTCATTGCTTTCCTTATATCAGCTAACCTTTTTAGACCATAATTTGGTTACTGAGAGAATTGTCAGAAGAATACACACTTTAACCCTGTTAACGTTTATCTGTGTGGTTTCCACTTGGTAGATGTGACTGGTCGTAACAAACAAGTAATCAAACACTACTTACCTGTTCGGGAAATTTTTGCAGATATAGTAGGTTATAGGGAAGATAGTGGAGACCAAACCAAAATGCCGCATCAGCACATGAAGTGACTGTTTGTCTATATATGTTATTTGAATATATACAGATTACCTATTTGGGATCAGCAGCTGAAGATAATAGGTAGAATGACTCCAAGATTTTCAGAATGGAGCGGATGCATTCGCTCTCTGTCTTTTCCTGGTTCAAGTATCACTTCATTATTACCTTTCTGTCCCATCGAGAACCACATACTCAACCTTCGAACATTTTATCGTTATTACTACAGTATTTCTTTTTTCTAATATTTATTATGCTAATTTTGCCTCACCATTGTAATGTGCTTTGGCAAATCGAAATAACGCTCATGTGCACCAGACCCTCTGTGGATTATGAATGATTGGCCTACACATAAGCTTTGAATTATAAGAGAAATTAATTTATATAAAGTTTACGTTGTGTGACATTTTGCATGTCCTTATGTGCCTTCTCGATCATTTTAATATACAACAGGCTTTTTAGGCAAACTCTATGCAAAGACGTATTTTGAACACTAGTGTTGATAACCGAATTCAATCTTCTAGTGCTAACTTATAAATTATTTAATGAAGTTTGCCATCTCATGTAGCTGAACACATGAATTACTTAAACCTCAGTTCATTGTTAATAGCAACGAATCTTTACCATTTGGATTGCTTATGAACATTCGTTGACCTTGAATATTTGCACACAAGGAAAAAAGCACGCTTTGTAACTTTATTTTTATTTTTGGTTGAACACATAAATAATGGTACGAGAGGGCAACAAATATGTATGGGCCACACAAAACAATCAGAATTCGAAGAGAAAGAAAAAAATAATAATGATGAATAGATTAGTGGGAAGTGGTGTAACAATAATAATAATAATAATAATAATGAGGGAACGGAAAGGTACAATCAAAAGAAATCTTTCAGTTAAGAAAGATACAACCACTTTTTATGAAGAAAGTAAAAGAGGGTTACAACAGGATCGCCACTGGCTTCTACTCTGAGCCATATCTAATAACGTCTCTAGTCACTGTGCAGCACCATCTCCCGAACCCCAGCCAGAGAGTCATGAAGGACCACCTCATTTGGTGGATCAGTCGTCACCGGTCATGGAGGGCAGGACAGTCTGACCGATGTTGCCGGAGCAGCAGGCCAGTTGAACTGCCCTTTGAAGAATTCCGCCAATCGTCCAAGACGTCGATGGACGTTAGTGATTGGCATCCCGTCGTCCTCGCAGATCGTTTCGCTCACACCAGACTTCTTGCTGTCAGTGGCTCGGATGAGTTGGAAGAGCTTCCGGTAGTTACCAGATGCAGCTGCTGCTTTCAACTCATTAGCACGCTCCGACCACCAGGCTTCTCGGTCCTTAAGCAAGCTTTGCCCAATTTCCTTACGTAACATCCTTCGTTTGTGATCAAACTCACGGTCACCCGGAGTAGACCGACGGGCTTCAATGAGTTGTAAGGAGCCTGAAGAAACCCAGTGCTTATAAGCGGGACGTTTCGCGAACCTACAAATGACTGTACCCGCCATTTTCATGGCGTCATGCAATTGCAACCAATGCTCATCAATACTTTTCGGTGTAATGGTAGCTAGCCTAGAAACTAGCTCGATTCGATACTTACTAGCAACAGAAGTTGCAACCAGCTTGCTAACATCAATCCGTTGGTGGCGGTCACTTCGTTGTCCACTGAAAAGTAAGGTAAGATTGGCGCAGACCAAGGCATGGTCAGAGTCCAGATAGGTACTCCAAAAGGGGCGGCAGTCTTGTACACAACCACGCCAGCGGTAGCTGATCGCGATGTGATCAATCTGAGTCCAGGCTTGGGATGCAGAGGGAGGACGCCAGGTGGCACATCGGCGATGACTGTGCCGAAAGTTAGTGCTAGCCAGAAACAGGTTGTGGTCTGTGCACAGTTGCAGTAGACGGTCACCGTTATCTGACCTGCGACCAACGAGTCCCCATCGGCCACCTAAACGACTCTCTTCTGTGCCTAGACGCCCGACCTGAGCATTCAAGTCTCCGGCTAGTACTACAATATCTGTCGAACGCACTTTCTGGAGAAGAACAGATAACTGGTGGTAAAACTCATCCTTGATTGCATCCGGGCTGCGATCTGTCGGGGCATAGGCGGAGATGACGAAAAGACATCGTTTCTCACGCCGATTTCTTCTCAATTTGATAGAACTCTCTAATCTAACAGCACATAACCGAGTGTTAATGAGGATCCAATCGATTAGTGCTGCCTCAGGTCTAGCGCTTAGTGCGAAACCAACGCCAGCAAGACCAGACGAAGATGCCACAGGGTCCATTTGTTCCCGCAGGATACTGGAGCCTATGTGCACCATTGGTTTGGAATCCGGTTAAAGCGCCGGACATTCGCTTTTCGTCCCCTCATTTTCGTAAACAATACCCTCTCCACGAGAAGGCAATGAGTAGGACTTCCCTGACAGAGGCTATATACGCGTGGCCGTGTGAGAGTATTTCGAGAGGGAGAGCGGACTCTTCCCACTCTCAGCCGTTTCAGGGCATTGGGGGGCGGGGGTGTTGTTTACGAAAATGAGAGGACGAAAAGCGAATGTCCGGCGCTTTAACCGGATTCCAAACCAATGGTGCACATAGGCTCCAGTATCCTGCGGGAACAAATGGACCCTGTGGCATCTTCGTCTGGTCTTGCTGGCGTTGGTTTCGCACTAAGCGCTAGACCTGAGGCAGCACTAATCGATTGGATCCTCATTAACACTCGGTTATGTGCTGTTAGATTAGAGAGTTCTATCAAATTGAGAAGAAATCGGCGTGAGAAACGATGTCTTTTCGTCATCTCCGCCTATGCCCCGACAGATCGCAGCCCGGATGCAATCAAGGATGAGTTTTACCACCAGTTATCTGTTCTTCTCCAGAAAGTGCGTTCGACAGATATTGTAGTACTAGCCGGAGACTTGAATGCTCAGGTCGGGCGTCTAGGCACAGAAGAGAGTCGTTTAGGTGGCCGATGGGGACTCGTTGGTCGCAGGTCAGATAACGGTGACCGTCTACTGCAACTGTGCACAGACCACAACCTGTTTCTGGCTAGCACTAACTTTCGGCACAGTCATCGCCGATGTGCCACCTGGCGTCCTCCCTCTGCATCCCAAGCCTGGACTCAGATTGATCACATCGCGATCAGCTACCGCTGGCGTGGTTGTGTACAAGACTGCCGCCCCTTTTGGAGTACCTATCTGGACTCTGACCATGCCTTGGTCTGCGCCAATCTTACCTTACTTTTCAGTGGACAACGAAGTGACCGCCACCAACGGATTGATGTTAGCAAGCTGGTTGCAACTTCTGTTGCTAGTAAGTATCGAATCGAGCTAGTTTCTAGGCTAGCTACCATTACACCGAAAAGTATTGATGAGCATTGGTTGCAATTGCATGACGCCATGAAAATGGCGGGTACAGTCATTTGTAGGTTCGCGAAACGTCCCGCTTATAAGCACTGGGTTTCTTCAGGCTCCTTACAACTCATTGAAGCCCGTCGGTCTACTCCGGGTGACCGTGAGTTTGACCACAAACGAAGGATGTTACGTAAGGAAATTGGGCAAAGCTTGCTTAAGGACCGAGAAGCCTGGTGGTCGGAGCGTGCTAATGAGTTGAAAGCAGCAGCTGCATCTGGTAACTACCGGAAGCTCTTCCAACTCATCCGAGCCACTGACAGCAAGAAGTCTGGTGTGAGCGAAACGATCTGCGAGGACGACGGGATGCCAATCACTAACGTCCATCGACGTCTTGGACGATTGGCGGAATTCTTCAAAGGGCAGTTCAACTGGCCTGCTGCTCCGGCAACATCGGTCAGACTGTCCTGCCCTCCATGACCGGTGACGACTGATCCACCAAATGAGGTGGTCCTTCATGACTCTCTGGCTGGGGTTCGGGAGATGGTGCTGCACAGTGACTAGAGACGTTATTAGATATGGCTCAGAGTAGAAGCCAGTGGCGATCCTGTTGTAACCCTCTTTTACTTTCTTCATAAAAAGTGGTTGTATCTTTCTTAACTGAAAGATTTCTTCTGATTGTACCTTTCCGTTCAGTCATTATTACTATTATTTTTATTACACTACATTACATCAACCTCTTCGTTATTGTTCTCTTTTTTGTTACGCTCCTTTCCTTTTTTGCTTTCTCTTCGAATTCTCATTGTTTTGTGTGGCGCATATATATTGGCGCTCTCTTGTAGCAATATTTATGTGTTCAAATAAATAATGCAACACCACCGTCACGAGAAGGCAGTGATTAGGACTTCCCTGGCAGAGGCTGTATACGCGTGGCCGTGTGAGAGTATTTCGAGAGGGAGGGCGGACCTATCCTGCTCTCGGCCATACCAGGGCATTTGGGGGATAGATAATACTTCAAGCTTAAAAATGAATAATCCCATTTCATTTATATGTATAATTGTATATTTTTTGTTCCATGTAATCTTTGTTTTGAAAAGTTTTATTCTGACTATTTTATGCATGATCATCTTTGCAAAGAGCTTCGTTTCATTTACGTTCAAAAACTAATTACCTATGCAGAAAGTAACCTATTCATTAAGTATACGTTTAACTATCCAACTGTTAACCACAATGAGAGGCAGTGATACTACCTCCACTTCCCAATTATCAAGATGTTAAAGCGAGGTTCGTACCCGCGAATAGGTAGTTGAAGAATTCTACATTAACCACATGAACATATGTTCGTGGTTTGTTCTCTCTCACATTTGGCCGTTGCTGATAGTATCCGGCTAACTGACATTGAGTATGTTGCGTACACAATTATTTATAAATACTTGTACCTTATTGATGATGGTCATGGTAGTTCTCCAAGTTCCAGCTCCGTACAGTGAAACTGTTTCGACGTTCGCATTTAAGATTGTGACTTTAATGTTGTCTTGCAGACAGTTGTTTTGAATTGCATATGTTCTTCAATTGTGGTAATGCGACCCTTGCTTTTCCAGTCCTTTCCTGTACATCTGCATCACATTTTCCTTGTTCATCGATGATACTGACCAAGTATGTGAGAGATTCCACCTGTTCCAGAGTTTATCCATCAAGTGTGATTGGGTTAGTTGGTGTTCTCCGTGTTGTATTTGAGGATCTTGCTTTTTGCCCCCAAATGCCCTGGTACGACCGAGGGTGGAGAGTAGGCTCTCCCTTTCCAAATGCTCTTACATGGCTATGCGTATACGACAATTGCCAACAAATCCCTACTCACTGCCTTCTCACGACGGGCGTGTTGTTTACAAAATTGACGGGACGATAAGTGATTCCCCGGCGCTTTATTCGGGTTGGTGAATATCGAGAATCCACATAGAGGAGTTGGAAAACCCTGATTCCAAACCAATGATGCATATGAGCTCCAAGACTCCGAGGAAACGTGTAGCGTATAAATCAGTTGTTGGTCACGGGTTATCATAGGACTGCATCTCCTGACGTTGCTCCACTGCCTTGTGAATCAGATATTTAGATAGAAGACTCCGGGTGTGGCCCCTCAAGAAAACCACCTGTTTTGGTCTGTACACCCGGGCAGTATTACTGCGCACATATAGATCAAGTGACTTGTGTTGCACACATTATTTCCGCGCCACTTTGGACTAATATTTATGTGTTCAAATAAATAATCTTGCTTTCTCCGTTGTGTATGTTGAGGCCTGCTGATGCCACACTGTCTATCTTCAGCCGTATTTGTTCTCGTTTGTTGAATACAAGTGTCAGCTCATTTTCAAAGTCTAAGTCGTCTAGTTGTATCCATGCTGTCCAATGTACTAAATGCTTTCCCTCGGATGTCGAGTTCTTCATAATCAGAAGAGAGTAAACAACCTTGTCTGATACCGGCCCTCACTTGGAATGCATCTGTCAGCTTCACTCCATTCGCGATTTTGCAATATAGTCCGTCGTATGAATTCCGGATGATGTTGACTATATCCTCAGTTACTCACACCATAGTGTCAAAGAAGGTTCATAATGTTTGCCTATCCACACTGTCAAATGCGTTCTCATAGTCTAGGAAGTTGATATATAGTGACGACTTCCACAGAGTTGATTGTTCAACGATGATCCGTAGTGTCGCGATTTGGTCTGTTCACAACCGATATTTACAGAATCCGATCTGTTGATCTGAAAGTTTAGCGTCTTCTGAATCTTTCATTCGGTTCAGAAACACTTTTCCAAAAACGTTTTCTGGTATTGACAGTAGTTTGATGCCTCTGTAGTTCTCACATTTGTTCAGATATCCTCTCTGTGATATATTGATAAGGTGTGCTTCCTTCCAGTCTGTAAGTGGCATTTATCACTCCTCCCAAATATTTCTGAATAGAACGTGGTGCATGTTTGCACTTACTTCTATATGTGACTTCAGTGTTTTATGTAGTGTGTTGTCAGATCGTGCTGCTTTCCCACTCCTGATTTGTCTGATGACAATCCTGACTTCTTCGATCGTTGGTGTAGGAAGAGCTATAGGATGGTTTGTAGTTACTGCTTCAATGTCTGGTAGGTTCGATGGAAGTGGTCTATTTAAACTTTTCTCAAAGTTTTCCAGACATCTGTTTCGCTGTTCTTGAATCTCAGTGATTGTCTTGCCTTCTCTGTCGTCGACCGGTTTATCTGGTTTACTGTATTTCGGTGTCAGTTTCTTCGTCGTGTCAAATAGTTGTTTGATATTTCCTCTCGCAGAGTTTTCAGCTGTCGTTGCCAGGTCTTCCATGTATTTCTGCTTGTCAACTCCAATACTCCACTTCACTTGTTTGTTTGCTTCTGTTTATTCAGCTCGTTCCTTGAATTTATGCGTGCATGTTCGACCGTTGTTGATTGCTGTCCTCTTGTTCCTCACTTCTTGAATCTGAGACAGGGTTTTCATAGAGATCCATTAATGATGATGATGCATCCTGCAGCCCAGTACCTCCTGACACGTTGAAGTTAGTGCTTCTTTGATCCCTTTCCAATTGTCCTCCATAGTAGTTTCTTCTTTCAGAAGATCCTGTAAGGCTTGGAACCTGTTCTCGAGAGTTATCTTGAATTGGTTTAGTTTGTTAGTATCTCGAAGGAAGGCTGTGACGAACCTTTGCAATGCTGTTTCTCCAGTTGTCCAGTGCATCCCTAGCTTCAGTCTCATCTTAGCAAACACCAGGTAGATGGTGATCTGACTCTATGTCAGATTCTCTCCTGGTTTTCACATCTTCTATTGTTCATTTGAATATTTTAGTGATGCAAATATGGCCGATGTGATTCTCTGTAGTGTGATCTGGTGAGACCCATGTAGTGATGTGAATGTGATTGTATGGAAAAATCGTGTCACCTGTAAACATTTTGTTGAATGCACATAGATTTGAGAATCTCTCACCATTCTCATTCGTTTCTCCCTGTCACTCGATGTTGTCCCATGATATCTTCATAGCCGATGTTGTCGATTCGGACTTTGGTGTTTAGGTCTTGTACCTGGATGTTCAGGTCCATTCCTGAGCACTTCACCTTGATTGATTGCAGTCTCTCATAAAACTGATGTTTATCGTCATCGTTGCCATCATTAGTGGGTGTGTAACTCTGGATAACATTCATTGTGATTCCCCCTTCTTTGTTTTGAAGGATGCTTTAATGATTCTAGATCCATGAGATTCTCATCCTATGAATGCTATTCAGGCTTCTTTGAACAACATCCGAACAACTTTCTGAGTGTGTGAAGCATTTTCTTTTTCGTAATCAGTGTACAGCAGCATCTCTCCCTTATCTAACCATTAATGTCCAGCTTGGGTCCAATGGGTTTCATTTATGCCGAGCACGATCAAGTTATATTTCCTCATTTCCGTTGCTATTTGACCGGTCTTCCCAGTCTTCCACATTGTCCGTAACTTCCATGTACCTATATTAATTGTTGCTGTGGTTGTTAGCAGGGGCATCGGCCATGTGACTTCCGAAGAATCTCGGCTTCCACCATAAGGTGTCTTGATTCTTCTGAATGAATGTCCTTGAATCCATAGGTCAAAGTTTAAATGCTTTAGTTTATTTATTTGGGTTAGCGTTTTTTTAGTAAGGTTGTTTTCTACGGGATAAGAATGCTGACCTTACACCCCACCCTCGTTCTTTACCCGGGATTCAGTCCGGCAGTAGCCCTAGAAGTGCTAAAGGTGGAGTTTTCTCATAACTATATATACGATAATTTTGCTGTCTAAATGAATTTTGTTCGAATTAATTTAATTTATCATTTTGTTTTCTAGACCTCTAAAACATTCGTTAAAAGTTTCGCTACATTAACTGTTAAACTAATTCTTCAATATTTGTCAATTCAATTGTCTTTTTCATTCTGATTGATTTTTTTTCTTATTCAAAAGTAATGGTGACGCCTATTGAGAAATATACTTTAGGAAATCCATGTAATAATGGTCATCTGGACAAAGATGATGATGAAAATGATGACGATGATGAAATCAGTTTAAGTTCTGATGATGAAATTAAATTAAATAATGGTTTAGATAAGAAAAATTCACAATCTGTTTGGTTTCGTGCACAAAAACGTATTGTTGGTCGAGTTCTACAAAATGATCAATCTATCAAATCAATCATTGGTAAAAGAGCTTATGAATCACTTAAATCTTTACGTTCTTTAATGAAATTACATATCAAATCTGAAAAAGATGTAAAACAATTATATAAATATTTAATTAAAACAATTGGAAAAATTGGTGTTATATCAAAACAACAAAATTTAACTGAAGAAGATTATACAAATATTAATGAAATTAAAGAGAAAAGTCGTACAATTGGTTTAACATTAATAAGTTTTGCACAAACTGAATATACATATAATTATAATTTTATTAAAGAACAAATAGATGATTGTAAAGAGATTATATGTCAAGCTGTATCATTATATTTAAGTCAAAAATCAATTGAACGTATTAAACATGTATTTAATGTATTAAGTTCAAATGAATTTCTTGATTCTGTATATGATCCAAAAGCGGATGATATAAAAAAAGCACATCTTCGTAATTTAGCTAAATATTTAAGTCTTTTATTAGAACAAATTAAATAGAATATTGTTTTTATTCAATTTAATTATTGAATAAATAAAAATATAATAATAACTATTGTCCCTTTTTGTGATCTTAACATTTATGATACTTGTATACATTAACTATTGAATTATATACATTTACATATGGGTATAGGTGATGATTTATGTATCTACCTAGGGTTCAGAATGTTCAGTGACTTCTTTTTTTCTTCTCCCTATATTATTCATATACACACTTATGTCTACCTAATTGTTATTTTGTGCAAACATGCTTATCTTTCTATGAATGATTATTCTTATTCGGATACCATGTATGACAAGTAATTGTATGTATTTTAATGCTGCATAGTATTCATACTTTGATTGTATATTATAAATAATGAATATATAGTTTATTCAGTTTTCCCTTCTTTATACTTTTGATTATGATTGTGTTTGTTTTGTTTTGTTTTTTTTCACTTTCTAATGAAAATTACTTATTATCTATACATGCACAAGAGAAAATGACACCCAACTTTTGATATAAATTTTAAATAAATAAAAATTTAAATTGTAGTTTATTTTGTGTTTATCTGTTGTTGTTTTTTTGTTTTTAATGGTTGTGTGCTGGTGGTGGTGGTGGTGGTCGGTATTGACAATATAATCCTTAAACTTTGTTTATAGTCCGTCCTGATAACTGTTACCAGATAACACCCCGACGATGTATTCATCAGAATGTTGCGTGTTTGAATCACGTCGGGCTCATGATTGCTGTTGTGTTCGGTATTTACTATAATCCTTAAACTTCGTATATAGTTCGTTCTGATAATTTACTAGATAACGCCCTAACAGTGTATTAATTCAGAAGGTGAATACGAAATGTTGATTAAGTTTATTATTGCACCATGCACAGATAACCAAAATTATAGGTACGATAAGAAAGTATGAAGGCGGCCTATGCTTCATTGGGAGTAACAGGCGTTAGTAAGAAAGCATGAAAGTGTTGTGCCGAAAAGCAAACGGAGAAGCGTGATAGTCGAATGAGCGAGTCAATGAACAGAATTAAAATGTACATATATATACATAGGGAAATGAATGAATCATTGAATTAATTAGGCGACTAATATTAAAACTAGCAGAATGAATATATGCATAGGCAGTGAACAATGCTCAAGCATACATATTCATACAAATGCAACATTAATAAAGGTAAAATGGTATAGATAAGTTGTTATTGGATGGATTTCTCTGTCCGTTAAATAAGTTAACAAAAGGGATTAACCAAATTAAATGTAAACAAACTGAATTGCACGTGAGCTGCTATAGTCGTATGAATAACTGTCGTTTATTTTTTAACACATCTGTCCACTCGTTCGAACTTTTGACGTTGCATCCGGCAATCAACCCAAGTAAAGTTGGAATCAGTATTTACACTATCGTAATCCATTATGGAGGGCGTGCTTCCTTATCTGTCTATTTCGCTGGCATATATGGGAAAATATAAAGTTTTCTACGAGGAAAATATCACTCCATCATGCTATGGAAGTGCCGAGTGCAACGCACTCAGTCATAATGGAGGAAAATTATAGCACAGCAAATTTCATACTTCAGTTAATTCCATAATAGAAAGGATTCAAAAATATCAACATCTGAATAACTAAATGAACGAAAACTTAACCTCAGCTCCTGAATACGATACACTTAGATGACTTGATAACATGGAGTTTATCACCAGCCAACTTTGACATTCCTCACCTAGTTGCACCCGATTTTTTCTATCAGAGAATTTCAGCCTTATTTGGTAAAAAGAAGGTTTATTGATGGACTAATCAGTTTAATGGTGACAGCTTTGAAGTTTTGCACTAATTTCCAAAATCAGTGACTCATAGCTTGTATCTTATTAATGGCTGAGTAAAAAAATAAGTATAACCTATCATTACTTACTTACTAAGACTGCTGATATTCTAAGACTAAAACATTGAAGAAGTATAGCATTTCCAAAAATTGCGTTAAGAATGTGATTAAAAACTAAACATAATATATGGGGTTTGGAACCTTAACCATGAATCTTAACCTAACTCCCAATCCTTACGTTTTTAGGTTTTTCGTAACAAAGTATTAATATAACATATTGTGATTGACTATACATTGGAATTACTATTTTAGAGGTCTCTGGAGATGGTCAGCAAAGTATGCTTTCTACCATTAGATTACTTAACATATCCATGTGAATATATGGTTGTTTATCCGTATCTTTTAATGTATTTTGCATAAATTTATAAGAAAAACATTATAAAGATTTCCAAAGAAAATATGAACCTTAACATTATATCTCAGATGACTGTCAATACTTTGATAATCAAGTGAGTTCAGTTGGAACTTATTATTTTGTACTTCTTTTGCTTTTAAAAAGAACTATTTTTAAGTTGGTGTAGCCCCTTCAATATTTGTGCTAATATTATAATAATCCATATGCTATTATGAACTCCAATGACCTTAAATTAACTGTGTTACCAACGGTGTAAACTGTTGTTTCGCCCTCATGAGGATAATGTTACTGATATTAATATATGTGGTCATTTATTAGTGAAAAAAACTGTAGTGTTACTTAATAAGTGTAATTGTATTACAGTAATACTAACTTTTGATAAGCGTGATTATTATTACTCATTTTGACACCCTTATTTGTTTAGTCGTGATGTTTAGGTCATACTGATCAAAAATATTTAATTAAAAGTAAAACAATCGTTTATTAGATTTCAAGGTTAGCGAATGGAAGAGTATTTTATTCTATGTGAATTTTACAAGATATTTCATAGCTCTAGGGTATTAATGTAAACTATTATTGACGTCTTTCGAAATGACCGGTCCATGGATGCAGCCAAAATTAATTAATGAATTGAGATATATTAAGAACGGTTCTCTGTAATAAAAACGTACGCAAAATGTTATTCATCAGTTAAGGTGATTTAATAATACTAAATATAAGAAGTAATAATATGTTTTTGGATAACCCTTCTCTTCAAGATATCTGAAGTCTTTGTACCTTTAAAATCAATGTTTATTTGGAGAATTTATGTAATAAGGTTATTAACACTTTTGGAAGTTTGAGTTTTGTATATTTGTCAATAAATCTTGGTGGTAGCTCGTTTTCAAAATGCATTTCCCTTAAGAAGTCTAACTCTACGTATATGATATTGGGACGGCGACTGAGCTATACAACTCAGCTTTTCTTCTTATCAATAATTTTCCAGCTGCGGAAGCAAGGTATCTGGCCACTTTATTTAGGTCTTCTGTAAACAGATCTCGAAGTTTCATCAGCTTTTGTCATTTTAAATTAAAGAAAGATGATGTTTAATCTGTTTTCAACTTCAGGTGGAATTTTTATTGCGGAGTGACAGTTGTTGAATGCCTGTAGAATATTTTTTCAAATCACATTTATCTCCTTAACTGATAAAAGCATTATCCACGTACCTGTTATGCAAATGGAAGTTATCTTTAGTTGATTGTTTTTCAAATTGGCAGTGAAATAGTTTGCTGGCAATCCACCAAGATGAGATACCATTAGTTGTAACATCTTTTTATCTGTAGATTTCGTCAAATTGAAATCATGCACTATACGTTTCTTGCAATAATATTTTATCTAAAGAAGGTTATGTTATTTCCGATAGTCATCGTCTTATGGCTCATGTATTTACATATGAAGCAAATGATCTCTGTAAGTGGGACATGCGTGAAAAATGATTCAGCGTCAAGCAAAATCACGATTTTTTCGTCTACATTTACCTTCTTTATGAGATCGTGGAATTCAGAAGTTTCACTTAGGGAATAAATGTTATTATGCCTTCTTATAGATTCTATAGGAGACCTGCTAGCCAGTTTGCTGTATATTAAACGGGGTCAAGTAATTTCAAAGATCGTATGGAGAGATAATTCAGGTTTAGGTACTTTGGGTTAGTCATATAATTGCGACATTGTTGACCCTGTTGGCTTAGTCTACTAGTATCTTCATTAATTACGTAATTCTTATTCCTTCACTGAAAGATTCGTCTAGTTGTTTTTTTTAAATCTCTTCCGTCTTGTTTTTCCCGTTGACGTGCTAAACAAACTCGTTATCATTTGACAAAGACAACCTGAAATATAGTCCATTGCCTTTAAAAATAATTGTATCATTTAGATAATAACTTATTATTGTATATGATGACATTTTCCCTAAATTTAATTAATGGAATGATAAATCATATCACGATGATCACTACTGTAGTATGTTTATCAGCCAATCTTGAATAATTCATTCATATAAATATTGATATGAATTACACTAAACAGTTACCAACTGATAACATCATACTTAAGTTTGTATGGTTTGAATAGAGCATGTTGTAAATGTGATCATATTATACCTTTATATAATATTTCTTCTATATTAAAAAAGTTACTCATTTCGAATTTTGTTCTACAGTTCAAGGTTGTTCTCGCTTTTCTAATTGTCACGCCTCTGTATTATAATTTTATCGATTTTATGTTCAATTTGGTTAGCGTTTTGAATTATTTCTTCTGGTTAGCAATTTTTTAGCGAGTTAGTTTTCTACGGGATGGGGTCGCTAACTCCATGCCCAACCCTTCTTCTTTATCCGGACTTGGGACTGGCAGTAGCCCCAGAGGGGCTTTAGGCGGATGAACTAGAATTATCCACATTGTTCAATCAACTAACTTCAATATATATATGTCTTCTCTACAGAGACGTTATTCATTCATTAATAAATTGAAAAGTTGACATCTTACTCAGATTTCTCACTTCAATTGCATTAGTTACATTAATATAGAGTAAATGTTACTTAAGTAGTTTAGTTCATCTATTTTTATGGCATGTGCTGTATGAATAAATAAAACATTTAATGATATTGCATTAAATTTTAGTCAACTACATTTTACAGTTTGTTTACTTAAGTAGTAGTATCATTTCTTAAAGAAAAGTAATAGCTTACAATGAAATGAGTACTTATTTAGAATATTCATTAGAATGAGTCTGAGTGTAAGAAAAGGTGTGATATGCATATATAAATATATATATTACGTTCCACGTTTTTCTGTGTAGGTAATACTCTTTACAGAGTAACTTCATATAGTCTATCCAAGACCTCATCAGAGATCGAACCCAAGGTAGTCAAGTTAAGTGACGAGAACTAAATTGTTAACATCACTAAATTGTAATTGATTGATTCATACTTCATACCACAATCATTTCCAATATTACAAGTACTAGTCACTCTAGAATATGTCTTGTCTATTCAACACTTTATCATTTTAAGACATCATTCGATTTTGTGTAGCTAATGCCAGTTCGACACAAACATACTGTCACATTCACATTTGTACTGGACACATGAATGTCTATGTAGCGTCAGAAATATTTTATTCACATACTTGTCTTCATTCTATTTGGATAAGGTGTTTTCCTTATCTTACTGTTCACAAATCATTATACGTATATGATTAGACTAGTCTTATTTTGTGAGTTTGATAAACAGGTTTTCGGGAAATTAGTGCAAGTTTGCATACGGTATTTTTCAAATATCGGATTCACTCGAAGTAACGGTGAGATGCAGAGAACACTGGACATCTCTTTCCACCTTGTATGCTTCACCCGTGTTTACAACGTGTTCTATTTTGCGATAGCCAACGATAATTACGAGTTTCAAACTATTGGGGAATTCCTCTAGGTTAAAA